CAATGAGTCGAAGCATACGACTCGACGAGTTGGAGTTGGTGGATAAAACCCTAATTTCCAGGGTATTGCACCCTATTTAAAGGGTCATTAGCCTCCCTTGGCCTCCCTTACAGCCCCCTTTGAGCTCAAAAACCCTAATTCGTGTTTACTCTCCATATTTGTGTGATTCAAGCTTGGAAGGTGGATCTTGGTGAGAAGGACTTGAAGTTCAAGAAGCTTGGAACAAGGAGAAGCTGTAGATTTGAACTCTATTCCATCTTAGTATCATATTGAAGGTAAAAAGTCGTTACCTTGGCTCTCCATTAACTAGATCTCTTCACTCATGGTTTAGAACCCTTTTTAGGGTATTATGGTGGTATTTCTGGATTTGGGGCAAGATCTGAGGTTGCAACTTCATATCTGGACCCCTTTAGCCCCTTATGGTCATAAAGTTTCAGTCTTTGCCAAGCTATGGCCTTTTCTTTGCCTTAAGCTTCTTCTTTAGCCTAGTTTTGACTCTTAAGACCTTGCATGCACGTAAAGTTTGCAACTTTACGTGATAACTAGGCCCTAGGAGGCTAGATCTACCATTTGGCGCTTTGGAGAGGCTCAAAATCATCTGGAAAAGAAATGGATTGTATGAACTCGACGAGTCGGATAAGCCGACTCGACGAGTTGGGAAGGGTTTTGCCGTTGTTAGGTTTCTGCATGGACTCGGCGAGTCAGTAAGAGGACTCAACGAGTCAGTTAGGGTTTTCCCCGACTTCTAGACACGCATGGACTCGACGAGTTGGTCGGAAACTCGGCGAGTCAGTGAGGGTTTTATGACCTTCTGAACTCTTAAGGAACTTGACGAGTTGCTAGCTGCACTCGACGAGTTGGGTCAACATGGACTGTTGACTTTTACCGTTGACTTTGACTTGGACCAAAGGTTGACCAGTTTGACCTCTGGGGGGTATTTTGGTAATTTGGGAATTTGTGGAAGGGAGTCACCGGTGGTTGTAGGTGTTGGATTCGGAGCTGCACTTGGTTGAGTTGACTTTACCGATTCGAGCCACTTGTGAGGTGAGTTCTCCTCACTATATCAACAGGTTCTACGGCACCAAGGCCGGCCCTTTATGATTTTCATCCTGGTTTTAGGATGGTTGCTATGTTATTGATCTATTAGATTTCATCTTGGTTTTACGATGGTTGCTATGCTAGTAAATAGTTAGATTGATATCCTGGTTATAGGATGGTTGCTATGTTAGAGATCGGTTAGATCGGTATCCTGGTTATAGGATGGTTGCTATGTTATTGATCAGTTAGATTGGTATCCTGGTCATAGGATGGTTACCATGTTAGTGATCTTTTAGATCTGTATGACTATATGTTATTGCATGCTAGCGTATGATATTATGTGCACATGTTTCTTGGGATTCAGATTGGGTTGAGGCAGGTCCTGCTTTGTGTTGTAGGCCAAGACACCCAGGGCGGACCGGATAGACTGCAGGCCCGGTTAGGGCATACTAGTCAGGTCGAAAGCCTGACGAGCGGTCCGGATAGGCTGAAGACCCCGAGACGGCGGTCCAGACATGTCAATGGCTCGGAAAGCGGTCCAGATAGACTGATGGCTTGCGAGGCGGTCCAGTCAGACTGATGGCTCATTATGCATGTTGTGTTTGTTATATGATATGGTTATAGTTGTATGGCGTTGGTATTTTGGGGGAACTCACTAAGCTTCGGGCTTACAGCTGTTGATTTTGTTTCAGGTACTTCTGACGATCGCGGGAGGGCGAAGGCGTGATCGTACACCTCCTATGATTTTTATGATTTGGTTCTGGGAAACTCTAACATTGGATATTTTGAAAACAAGTTTTGTAATAATCAACTGATTTTGGAAATGTTTTAAAAGTTTAAATTTGGCACGATTTTTATGGTTGTTACAAAGGGGGAGGGGAGAAAAAGAGAAAATGAAACAGTAAAGAAGGCTTACCATTGTTAACAACATAAAACTCCGACATTTTACGACAACGACGCCATTTAGTGCTCATCCCAGCCCAACAAGAATATATTCAAGGAACTCATCGCGAATGACAGTAAGGTTATCCAAAATACAAAAAACATCTTGGTTATGAGGAAGGAATTTGGGAGCACTGTCAGAAGTTGAGTCGGTACAGTAGTAGGGACCTCCGACGCGAGAGCGACAACCAGAACCAGTGACTTTGCTAATTCTTAGGGCTAACTTTTCCCTCATAAACAAGGACACGATTGTTCTTCCAGGTATAAAATGTGTATGTTTCATTTGAGGAAGGGAACCTGAAATAATTATGGAACACCCAAATGTCCATAAGAAACCCTTAGGAATGACAAAGCATCTCGAACGCTGCAATCCTTGTCACAACATTTGGAGTCAGTTCGTAGATGTTTACCCCATTCTTGCGGAGTACTTCATCGAGAAAATCAGAAGTGGGGAGGCAATAGCTGACCTCCAAGGTATTGAAAAAGATACCAAATTTTCCATGAAGAGGGTCTAAGAACGAATCTCCATCAATAGGAATCACCACGTCGTCCTCCGGCTGAAAACCGTACTTCTCATGAAGAACATTGAAGTACTCTGGTGTAGGAACCACGCCGGCGGAAGAAACCATGGTTTGTGGAATCATCCATTGCAAAAACGATGAAAGAGTATAAGAGAAGATGAAGTAGGAATAAACGGAAGGAAAATGAAAGAACGATTAGAAGAAGTATTTTTGGAAAATATTCAAAAAACTGGAAATCAAAAATTAAAGATGGGATGGTAACCATGTGTGACAACCCGAAATTTCTAACTTGTGTAAACATTCAAATTTATCAGTGTTAGACTCATTTTGCTCCGAGTTATCACTGTTTTGGAACCTGTTTTGAGTATCCTAACTCTAGTGAATCAAAGGAATTAGTATTTGGAAGTGTCAGTTTAAGTTCTAAACTACCTAGCAACCGTAAACCTCCTCAAAAAGGAGTTTACGGTCGAGACCTTGAGTTTACGGTCAGAGTAACCGTAAACTCCTCCCTATATATAATGGTTGATCATTTCAGCCATTCTTTTCACTCTAAACACTTCAAAGGCTTTCTCTCTCTACTCTCTCTCTATCTTCATCGAGAATCCTCAAGAACACGGTTGTGTTTTGGACCGAAAACACCTTCTTTGCCTTCAAAAACCGTAAGTATCATCTTCCCCTTCATGAATCGAGTTAAAATCCTTCATTTTGGACTTAAGATCATCACTCTTTGCTTGAACAAAAGAGTTTACGGTCCTATGAATCTTCATAGACCGTAAACCCTTATAAAGGGTGTTCTTATAGCCTTTACCCTTCCTAAGGCTAAGCATGGTCCCTAGAATCTGACACCTTTGAATGAAACCCTTGAAAACCATCACTTGTGCAAGATTGATGAGTTTACGGTCTAGTGTATCTCCTTAGACCGTACACCCTTCAATAACCGTATATTCATGGGCCGTAAACCCATGGAACCGTAAACCCATGAACCGTAAACCTTATGACCGTAAGGTCATTAGACCGTGAACTCCATGACCGTAAGGTCATTAGACCGTGAATCCATAGAATTAGATAAAGTTGGAATAGAATTAGAGAGGGTTGGAAAGCAATTTAAGAGGCTTGAATGAAATTAGAGAGATTTCAAATGATTTAAAGTAGCTTAAGTATATTTGAAATTTCTAACAGTTAAACAACAATCAAAAGAGAGAAGAAAGGTGGTAGGAGCAGCTTTTCCAAACTGTCCAACCCATAATTTTGCAGTACCACATGGTGGCAGATCCGTGGCGCTGACGATACCAGCCTCAAACTGCTTCCAATCTGTATTGTTGACATCAACCTGAAACCGCTTCCAGTCTGTATCAACTCCGTGCACTCCAATATTGCATATTTGTTAACATGCGTGAAGATGTCTTTTAGTTAAATTTTAATACTTGATGTCATGTATCACATAATCATGACATTTTGTTGAAACCTAGTGTAAGTTTTAGCATGCCATTCTTTATGTGTCGTACAAGGTGAAATTCATATTTGGGTTTTATTTTGTGTGTACCCCTTCTACTCCTCTTTTTGGTCATTTTGTTAAATTTTTTTTTTGTTTTTTACTTGTTTTGTTTTGTTGTTTTTTTCGTTATTTTTGTTTTTAATATTTATAATAAATGCATATTATTATTATTATTCACATTAAAAATATTTTTTTGTTCATTTGGACTATTTTCAAGTTATTTTTTTATTCAAACTATCATTGTGTTATTTTTTTGTTCGGACTATTCATATATTATTTTTTTCGTTCGGACTATACTCATGTTATTTTTTTCGTTCTGACTATCCTTGTGTGATTTTTCCGTCCCGATTATGTATGTGTTATTTTTCTGTTCATATATTATTTTTCTGTTATTTTTCTGTTAAGACTATTCATATATTATTTTTTCGTTTAGACTATCGATGTGTTATTTTTTGTTTCGATTATCTCTGTGTTTTTTTTTCCGCCTATCCATGTGTTTTTTTCTTTTAAGACTATCCTTATGTTATTTTTTTCATTTACTCTATCCAGGTGTTATTTTTTTGGTTCGGATTATCTATTGTTATTATTTTGTTACGATTTTCGTAGACATTAAATACAACTCACACAAACATACATATAAAATTGTTCATAAATTTTTCTAAGACAATGATAGTTCGGTCCGGACGAAAGAAATAACACAATGATAGTCCGAACGAAAAAGAAAAATATAAAGTTAAAGTTAAAAAATATATCAGATCAAATCAATTATTTAAAAAAAATTAACAATAATAATAAATGACAAAAAAAAAAACAATAAAAAAATAAAATATATCAAATTAAAATGGATTTAAAGAAAACAAAATGATAAAAACAAAATATACATAATGGAATTTCACAAATTATTTATGCAATCGTATTTTCTTATTTTTTTTTTATTAATTTATGCTGCAAACTGATTTAATGCAATATTGTTAATATCTAATGATGGTGTCTCAAACACTTGGATGGCTGACGACGGGTATGAAAGAGAAGAAGGTGAAATCGTTGAAAAGGAAGGTACGAAAAGCATGCAGGAAACCAACCGGGATGATGGAATGCAAACAAATTCGGAGTTGACACCGGAAGAATCAACGGTGCCGGAAGCACCACCGGCGCGTACAGAAGTCAACTCGGGAGAGGAAGAGTCGCATAGGGAACATAATCACGGGGATGATATTCCAAGGAAGACAAACGAAGAGACTAATGGGAATTCCAAAACAATAACTGATAACGGTAATATCCCTCCCACAATGAACTCCATTGAATGCGGTGGGGTCAACCAGACTCTACCCGTCTCCCCAATTTCTAATACCAATAGAATGGTTAATGGACTACATATGGGATGTTTTGGGCCATTCCCTTCCCCTGTATTATCTGAAGCCCAAACCCAAGGTGTAGTTGGATCGCTTGGCAAAAGGAAAAGAATGGAGAGCACTGAGCCCATATTCCCAATAAACAACATTACCCCAATGGCAAGCTTGTTCGATGAAATTCAGGATGCACATCTGTTCAATCTGAATACTCGACAACTGATTGGAAGCTCCATCTCCACCCCTGATTCTCCTTCTCTAGACCTTAAAAGGGTAGCCGATGGACAAGGAAGTGAACCCTCAAATAGCGAATGTCCCTCCTCATCCCTTGAAGCGGGAAAAACAGCAGAAATTGATCAGGAACTGGGATTTGAAATCGAGTCAGGTAACCCAGTTCTACAGGAAGTAATGGGAAAATGCGGAGAGATGAATGGTGGCCAATGAATTGTTTGAGCTTGAATGTGAGAGGCATAAGCGAAGACTACAAGGTAGCATGGGTAAAGCGACTCAAGGTGAAACATCGCCCTTCGTATTTGGGGATCCAGGAAACGCAATTAACAGACGTGAATAACATAGATGTTGAAGGCTGCTGGGATCACAGTGAATTTGGTTTCACTGCCACACCTTCATCAGGGAGATCGGGAGGACTACTAAGTATATGGGACACCTATGTATATAATGTTGAAGAGGTAATCAAAACACGTCATTTTCTTATAACTATAGGAAGATGGAATGGAATCAATGGAGCTATGATTTTTGCGAATGTATATGGGCCGCATACACCACAAGAAAAGAAGAAACTGTGGGAGGATTTAAAAATGATCAAAAGAGAAAAAGTTGGAACATGGGTAATATTTGGTGATTTTAACACGGTAAGAAGGAAAGAGGAAAGATATAACTCACAGTTTAGTGCTTCTGAGGCATGCTGGTTCAATCAATTTATCGAACAGGCGAGCTTACATGATATAAGATTAGGTGGTCAAAGATACACCTATTTTTTTCAGGTGGATGTAAAACTCAGCAAACTTGATCGCTTCTTGGTATGCTCCAACTTTCTCAACCTATTTCCATCAGTTTCATCCACTGCATTGCCTAGAGAGGTCTCAGATCACTGCCCAATTATCCTTCAAACCACATTATCTGATTTTGGGAAAACCCCGTTTCGCTTCGTCAATTCTTGGATGCACTGTGATGGCTTCGATGAGATTATAAAAAATGCATGGGAAAAATTTAGAGGGTATGGATCGCCTGATGCATACCTGGCTGTGAAACTAAGGCAGTGTTTGATATACGTCTGACCGAGTCCGGTCAGACGATTTTGGCTGACTCGGTCAGCAAAAACGTGTTTGGTAATCCAACTATTGGCATCTGATTCAGTAAGAAAAGTCCGATTCAGATAGAAGATGTAAAATATCTGACTGAGAAAAAAGGATACATTTCCATCATTACCCTTTCCCTACTGTTTCTCAACGCCTTCATCGGTCCATCATCATTCTTCTCCATCGAATCTTATAGAGCCTCCATAGTCACGCATCAACCGACAGTATTGACGATTTATGTAATATTCATCGACCGACGATCTCCTCCACAATAACGCCTCCATCGAGTGCCTCTTCTCATCAGGTATGAAATTGGGATCCGATTGTTGCCAAATTGCAATATTTCTACCATCTACATTTTCGATGTGTAATGAATTTTGTGGGGTTTTGGTGTAGGCAGGCGTAAACATGGTGGCAGAGCTGATTGGAGTTACTTTGGGTCCAAGAAGTAGGAATGTAGTGTTGCAGAACAAGTATTTTCTTCCATAATTTTTGTTTTTTCTGTTATTTAACAATTGGGTTCATCTGTTGGTTCCTCTCCAAAAATCTGTAAAATGTTTATAAACATTAATGAACTATGCATCCCTACGTAAGTAGTTTAAACTGGTTACAAATGGTTATATAGTGTTTATGTAAATGGACTCCAATAGAGTTATCTTCCAAGTGTGTGTTGATTTGCCTCAATGAGATTCATTCCACTACTAATAATTGCTTTATTTAGATTCAGTTAGAGGACCCTATTGAGAATGTTGGTATGAAACTGGTTGCAATTGATTTTTCCTCTTAAATGTTTCATGTTAATCTTGATTTTGATACCTGAAGGCTGGTGATTTTTGCTCATACACACATACATACATATCACGTGTTAATGGAGACGAAGGTTGGTGAACTTGTTGATTGATATGGAGAAAAGGGTGGAATGGTGGGGGTAAGGTGGAGGTTTTATGGATGGATGGGGTTATGGTGGAGGTTCAAGATGCGTGATAGTGGCGTAGATGGTTTGTGGGAATAGAGAAGGGTGGTTGTAGAGGTGATGATTCATCTGTTAAATACATTTGTGATGATTTAAACAAGTTTTTTTCCAAGATATCATCTGTTGAATACATTTGTGATGATTCAAACAAGTTTTTTTCTCTTTCAAAAAAACTTTATACCTTTGTGATGATTTCAATGTGTTGGATATTTATGTTTTAGGATGTTGATTTGGAACGAGTGTGAGCTAATATTTGTATAACAAATACTAGTATGTTTTTATAATTCTTTAACCACTTTGTCCATCCTCGTATAAAGCAATAGGGTAAAATGGTCATTTTTCATCAGTCAACTCATTAGTCAGATTTACAATCAAACAACATGGTTTCTTACTCAGTCAGAATTTCTTACTCAGACAGACCTTTCTCAGTCAGCACTTTTTCAGCCAGCAACTATCAAACGGTACCTAAGATTCTTGAAGGCAGAACTGAAGAAATGGAGGGGCAAGGATTATCCAAAGGAGATGATGGAGCTCCAACAAATTAAGCACAAAGTTAGAGAACTAGACCTAGTGGCAGAGCACCGAGCATTGAATAGTCAGGAAATAGATGCAAGGAGAATGTGCTATCAAAAGATGATTGAAATGGAGAAAATGGCAGTTTTGGACTTAAAACAAAAGGCAAGATTGAAGTGGATAGTAGATGGAGATGAGAACTCAAGATTCTTTCATGGATATGTCAACTGTAAGATATCCAAAAACCGCATCAACGGATTGATAATCAATGGAGAATGGAACACAAATGCGGAGACAATTAAAAACGAAGCATTTAATTTTTTCAAAAAGAAGTTTCAAGAGAGATGGCCATCGAGACCGAAGTTCATCAATCCTAACTTTAAACGTATAGACTCAGCCACCAATACGAGTTTAGAGCGTCCTTTTACAGCGGAAGAAATAAAAGAGGCGGTATGGGCATGTGGGAATGAAAAGGCACCAGGGCCGGATGGCTTCACGTTCAAATTCATTAAGAAATATTGGGATCTGATACACAGTGATGTCATAAGATGTGTACAACATTTCGAGAAATATGGAAGACTGGAACGAGGATGTAACTCCTCGTTTATTACTTTGGTCCCAAAATTAAAGACTCGCTTAAGCTTGAAGACTATCGTCCCATTAGTCTCATTGGATGCTTATATAAAATAGTGGTAAAGATGCTAATCAGGCTAAAAAAGGTGATTGGTATGAATATTGACGAGGTACAATCCGCATATGTGGATGGGAGAAATATATTAGATGGCCCCTTGATCGTTAATGAGATATGCTCATGGGCAAAATCAATCAAAAAGAAAGTCCTGCTTTTCAAAGTTGATTTTGAAAAAGCCTTTGACTCTGTCAATTGGGAATATCTTGACTCCATACTGGTACAGATGGGGTATGGGGACAAATGGCGACTGTGGATCAGCGGATGCTTAAGGTCGGCAAGGGCATCAGTACTTGTAAAGGGTACACCCACAGATGAATTCGAAATGTGCAAAGGGGTGAGACAAGGGGACCCTCTCTTACCTTTTCTTTTTATAATTGCTATGGAAGGATTGAACATCGCTATGAAAACAGCCTGTGACAGAGGCATCTTCCATGGCATCAAAGTGCCAAATATCGGGTCCCAGGTATCTCATTTGTTCTACGCTGACGACGCGCTGTTTATCGGTGAATGGAGGAAAGATAATATTAAAAACTTAGCAAGGATATTACGGTGCTTCCATGTAACATCTGGTCTCAAAGTGAACTTTACTAAGTCAAAGGTGTTTGGTATAGGAGTTGATATGCAGAAGATTACCAGGTGGGCAACACCTTTGGGCTGTGAACCCGCAACGTTACCGTACACATACCTCGGGGTACCGGTGGGCGCTAATATGAACTTGATGAAGCACTGGAAACCCATAATTGGAAAGGTACAAGCAAAACTGTCTGCATGGAAAAGTAACACCCTATCCTTTGGAGGCAGACTAACGCTCACAAAGTCGGTACTGAGTAGTTTACCCTCGTACTACTTCTCGTTATTTGTAGCACCGGTTGGGGTCATTAAAACGATAGAAAAAATAAGACGTAGGTTCTTATGGGGAGGATTAGAAAACAAAAATAAAATTTGTTGGGTTGCTTGGGACAAGGTAGTGGCATCCAAGGAGGATGGAGGATTAGGATTGGGATCGTTGAGGGCATTCAACCTATCCTTAATTCTCAAGTAGTGGTGGAAGTTAAGAACATACGACTCGATACTATGGTGTCGGGTAGTCAAAGGTCTACATAATCTCAAAATTAGGAACGCAAATGATCTCTCAAAGAAATCAATCCCCGGGGTCTGGAACAATGTTGCAGGGGAAAAAAAGGAATTGGAAAAATTAGGCATCAAGATTAATGAGGTATTCCATAAAAAGGTAGGAAAGGGCGATGATACAATGTTCTGGATGGACGAGTGGTGTGGGAACGACAGTCTCAAGAACGAATTTCCTAATCTATATCAATTAGAGAAAAAAAAGAGATGTAAAGTTATGGACAGGGTGAAAGATGGTGTGCTACTCTGGGAATGGTGGGCTCCATTGATAACAGAGGAATTGAGAAGAGAAGTGAATGAGCTTACTGTTAAATTAAATCTGTTTCAACCTTCATCAACGCCTGATCAATGGAGATGTAGAATGTCAGAAGATAGAAAATATTATGTGGAGATATTAAGGAAAAAAATAGACCATGTAACACTAGTGGATGGGGAAGCACTAATAGACTGGATACATGAAGTCCCAATCAAAGTCTTGTGCTTCATATGAAGAGCAAACATCGGGAGAATTCCTACCGCATGCGCGCTCATGGGGAGGGGGTACAAATTTCATCTGTGAGTTGTTGTCTATGCTCGAATGGAAACGAGGAGGTGGAACACATCCTCTTAAACTGCTTCTTCTCGACTGAGGTATGTAATTGGATTTTCAGGGGGTGTAAGATTCAGACCCGGGAATTTGCAAGTATTGGTGAGCTGATCACATATATAGGCAAGTGGGGAAATTGCAAAAAAAGTAGGAAAAATCTGATCCTTATATGCTATGGTACCTTATGGCAAATTTGGAAGGCCCGTTGTGAAATGGTGTTCAAAAGAATCCGCACATCCCCAACAAAAGTGGCAGATAATGTGAGATCTACCGTATATAATTGGGTGAAACATAGGAGAGAAAAGTGTTATTATAAATGGGTAGATTGGTGTGTTAACCCTTTGGTTTGTATGTAATCCTCGAATATTGTAACTGTTACTTTTCTAGCCTCGTCTAGCCACTTGTTAGGCGATGACAACTTTTATAATATATTTGCCGGTTCCAAAAAAATTTATAATCATTTGTTTTATTAATTTATGTAATAAAATTATTTTCATGTTGTCTTATATTGATGATTTCTATAATGAATATCAAATATTATTTATTATGTAAATTAATAAAATAAACATCAAATAAAAATAAGCGGAAGAAAATAAAAATAATAGTTGGAAAACAATTCCTACAAAAAGTTAATATGTTTTATAATAAATAAATAAGAATATTGACTAAAAGACAAAAGAACATATAATATTTGACAAAATTCCCGCATTTATGCGTATATAATATTTCCAAATATTGTATATCTATACAAGACTACCCACTGAAATATGACCTCCGTTTCACTCCTCTCCAAAATCTTTTCTATTCTCCACATTCGATCCCATCTCCTCTGCCTGCCAGGTTGCTTCCTGCTCATCTCTGCCACTCTGTTCGTCTTCCCATTAATATCATCATTCTTACTGTTTATGTTTCTGCAGAGGCCCAAATCGGCTGATTCAATCGTTTGAATAACTTATCATGGAACTAATGAAGAGTTCCGATTCACAATACAATAACAACAAAGCGTTTACCCCATCAGAGGTTAGTCTCAACTCTATCGTTGGATTGTTTTGTTTTAGGATTTTATATTTTACAGAGTAGATGATGTAATATATATATACATATAGATGATGGAGGAAGTGAAGCAACTTCTGTCTATGGTTATCCCAATCACGGCGATGAACTGCCTGGTTTATCTTCGAGCAGTTGTGTCCGTGCTGTTCCTAGGGAGGCTGGGCAGCCTGGAGCTAGCCGGCGGTTCTCTGTCATTAGGTTTCACGAATATCACGGGGTACTCGGTGCTAGTCGGACTAGCATCGGGGCTAGAACCGGTGTGCAGCCAGGCGTACGGCAGCAATGGCAGCGACAAGTGGGATCTATTGTCTGTATCTCTTGTCCGGATGATATTCATACTATTGATGGCGATCATACCGATCAGCCTACTATGGGTAAACCTGGAACCGATCATGCTGTGGATGGGGCAGGATGCAGCGATCACATCAATGGCTGCGACGTACTGTATATATTCTTTACCAGACCTCTTAACAAACTGTCTGTTACAGCCGTTAAGGGTCTATCTAAGGTCACAGGGGGTGACGAAGCCGATGATGTGGTGCAGTATGATTGCAGTGGCGTTCCACGTGCCGTTGAACTACATGCTAGTAGTGGAGATGGGATTGGGTGTGAGCGGGGTGGCAATGGCTTCGGTGGTGACCAACTTGAACATGATGGGGCTGATGGCAGGATACGTGTGGATGTACGGGAGATGGAGGTGGACATGGAGATGGACGGATGGGATTGGGATTACGGGGGTGGGTCCATTGCTGAGGTTGGCTGTGCCGAGTTGTATGGGAATATGTTTGGAGTGGTGGTGGTATGAGATCGTGACCGTTCTTGCTGGTTATCTGGCCAATCCGCAACTGACAGTGGCAGCGACTGGGATACTCATCCAGACAACTAGTCTTATGTACACTGTTCCCATGGCTTTGGCTGGCTGTGTATCTGCCCGAGTAATCTCTCTCTCTCTCTCTCTCTCATACGCAATCTTAAATTTCCTTTTTGAGCAAGTCTTGTGATTTTCTACCTAGGTGACTGTGATCCTGAGAAAAAAAAAAAAATAACATATTGTATGGAGGATAGTAACTTAAAAATAATCATATTTTAAATTTTTATTAAAAAAAAACTAAAAAATATTATTTTTAAAAAATGTCGAACTACTTGGGAATGGGGTTATCTCAAAGTATAATAATTGACTAAAAATATATTTTTGATCGAAATTTCAGACCGGACGTGCTCCCAAAAAATTTTACTTTAATATAAATTTGAAATCCAATGAACAATATGGATTTCGAAAGATACTTTAATTTATTTTATTAAAGTGTACCAAAAAAAAGCAAATGAAAAATATATACAATATATTGGTTTAAAATAAGACATTTGATTGAAATTGAAAAAAATGTGATATTAAACTTTTTGAAATAGTAATTTAGGCATAAGAAAAACATGTTTTTTAAAAAATTTATATGATAATGAGAAATAATACATATTATATATTTTTTATTACTCCAAATTTTTAAAGAAAATTTAAAAGTAGACCACTTAGACCATCTCCAACCCATCTCCATTTTTTTCCCCATAAATGGAGTGAAAAATGGAGTAAACAGTGTTTCGTCTCCAACCCTACTTCATTTTCTACCTCATTTTTTATCCCAAAAAGTATATTCTTAAAATATTCCATTTTTATAACTTATATATATTGTCAAATACACCCCTCTACTAATTAAACTCTATATTTATGATTAATTAACATAAATTAGTATATAACATGATATTATAAATATTAAATATTGCATTTAAATTATAATTAGTAGATAAAATAAACTAGAAATGTATAAAATAAAAATGAGAGAGACTAAAATTGGCAACCAAACTTCACCTCTATTTTCGGAGATATGAATAGTATTCCTCCATATAGGGTTGGAGAAAAATGGTGAAGAAATTAGGGAAAAAATGGAGTTTGGGGGTGGGTTGGAGATGCCCTTAAGGGATGAAGATTATTTTTAAAAAATACAAAACATAATTATTTTTGATAGACTTGTCGTTTATATAGTTTTTTTTAACAACAAATCTAAATTATTCCTAACATAACACCTAATTTAATCTATGTCTATAACGAGACTTGAACCTTCAACTCAAAGAGAGATGACACCTCCTAATTAGTTTAATTATGATCATAATCTAAATTTTATGACTTAATAACCTAGATTTATTATAGGTATTATTATGACATCATAATCTAGATTTTATATTTTCTATTAGAGCGGTTTTTCGTATTATTATTGTTTATATTGATGTTATTACCATTTGTGTAAATATATTTTTATAGTTTTATTAATTATTTATTAAAAGGGAATATAAAAAATAGTTTATGTGGTTTACAAAATTATACAACAATTTTCTTTCAATTTATATCGACTTGCACGGCTAGAGCAAAATATGATCTTTTTGTGGTTTTGGACTTTTAAAAGAACCTAAAATACCGATTTGCTTTTTTTTTTTTAATAATTTAATATCTTTCAAATTATAAAAGTAAACAAAAATAACTAACCCACCCCCCCCCCCCCCTCTCTCTCCATTGTTTGTCGAAGCCACACCTATCCGCCGAACCACTAACATCTTCACGCCATTTGTTGTTCGGAGTTGCAATTTTCATCGAGCCAGCTACCTTAGCTATTAAACCCTAAACGTATGTTGAGCTAGGTGGTGAAATGTTGAGCTAGCTTCACCGTTAAATCCTAACGCTGTTGGAACCTAGGATGGTTAGGGTTTTCTAGCTAGGGTTTACCGGTTCGGAGGGAGGGTTCGAGGGTTAGGATTTTCTGGCGGCAGTAACAACGCTAGGCTACTAGGGTTTTAAAGATTGGAAGTCACCGTTTTTGTAATCAGCTCTCTATTTCTTTCTCCGACGAAGGCAATGCCTGCCGATGGTGAAGGGTTTTAACAGGTGGTTTTCTGAAAAAGGTACTAGTGACAACAATGGTTCTTGACAAAGATGCTACGCTCCGATGGGTTTTGCTCCGCTGAAAAACATGTAACAAACTTTGATGTTTCGTGTGTAAAATCTGGCGACAACGACATTAGGGATAACTTCATTTCTTCCCATTTCATTCAATTAACTATATAGTTTTTTCTATTTTTTAATTTAATTTAATTTAATTTGTGTACTAAACCATAACATTTACGCTGTATTAATACTTCACTTCTTTCACTCGCACTCAAAATGGCATCTTCGTCTCATGCAAACAAAATAGTACGACAACCTTGATACCCTTATCTCCTGTTTCAACAATCATGGATTCTTTTAGACTAAGGGGAGTGGACACGCTAAAGGCTCTAGCCAAAGCTGTTAGCATGGATGAACACCGTACTCTAGCATGCGTTAAGGGTGCGCCAAGAAAAAACAAGCCATTGGGTTAGCGATAGGAAAGAGAAAGAGAGAAGGGAAGGAGCGTTCTGATCGATCATTTTTATTTATTTATTTTTAATTCTTTTTTTCTAAAATCAAAAAACTGTGATTGATCATCTTTTATTTGTTTTTTCTTTTTTAATTTTTTTTCAAAATCCAAGTGTATATGAATCTCCACCCCCGCCTCCAACAGAAATCGGAGATCCCTAAAGGAAGAATTTTACATAAAAATTATAAACAAATTTTCTACCAAACTTAAATACATATATGAAAAATCAAGTAAAAAAGAATTGTTAAAATGATATTTGAGGTAAAATAGATAAAACTAGGATAATTTTTTTTTATATATACGAGGTTAAATTAGATTAAAGAATAAATAAACAATACAATTTCAACAAAGTAATTAATTACTAATGAGTTGAGTTACTTACATCTAATTTTAGGTATTGTAAATTATATATATATATATATATATATATATATATATATATATATATATCGGGGACGGGTTCCAGGGGCGTATTTATGAAGGGGATAGGTAGGTCCTAGGACCTACCTAAATTCTCAGTTTCATTTCCAATATATACAGTAGAAAAATTAGGAACTACCTTAGAAAAAATAGAGGACCTACGTTGATTTTGTTTTTTTTTAAATGTCTTAAAAAAATTATTTTAAAAGGAGAAAAATATAAGTTATTAGGGACAATTTATTATTTTTAATTATGAGATTGATAACAAAAGGTTAACCACTTTTATTCAAGATTCTGAAAATATCAATAAATAAGTAAATTGCTCTAATAAGCAAGAAGCCATATGCCAAAGACTTTTATTTTCCGTTCGCCACTTTATCAATGGACTAATAATCAACTAGTTTTTCGTTAAATCGTACGAGTTTTTTTCAGTTATATTTCAATCAGTTTTAAATTTTTTTATCGGTGGCGCCTAATCGGTTTTAATCGATTGAACCGGTTGGTCCAATTTTTTAAGGTACACGATCCGATCCGACCCGACCCCCAAAAGTGTTGTTGATTTTTTTTATTAGCTTCACTTAATTTGGGAACCATGTGATTTTTTGTTCTAGATTCGCCACTGCCGGGTTCAGGGTTGGGGATTAGGGGTATCCCATCCCCACTTTTTTATTCACGGATTTCCATGTCAAATAGGTGTGTGTTTCGGGTTTCTCATTGGGTATAAAGGTTTTTTTTTTTTTTTTTTTTTTTCATCCCTACTTTTAAGCAAACATATAGTTCTATATATGTTCACGGACTTAACTATCTCTTTCTCAGAAAGAGAATGCAACACCACGGATGGGCTAGAAGCTATTTATTCATTTTAGTCAAAATAAAATAGAATATTATACTAAGTAAATGAACGGAAATATTTAATTTTCTTAAATATAACTTTATATTTTAATTATCTACTTTCAAAGGGTACCAATAGCTACTTGATTACCTGTTTCTTTTCATGAATTAATACTGACCCAGTTAACCTGTCTGGTGGGTTGATACTCGAGCATCATACAGAATGTACTATCCCTAGAAAACCTGTATTTGATATTAATTAGATTTTCATTGTTTCATATAGAGCCACAATATCGAAATAGTTTATCAAATTTCATAGATGATTTACATTTTGAAAGTTTAATAACTAAATACTTATGTGTGACGGAAAAAGAAAAAAAAAATTACACTATTTAAATGGAACAAATCGAATTTACTATTGAAAACGTCCGACTACTATAAACTTTTGGATATATTTTAAAAGAACCACATTTATTAAAAGAAACTACAAATATGAAGTAATGATTACTAGAGATTGTGATAGTGGTGGGTTTCAGTTTGGAGCTACTAAAAGAAAAAGTGTTTTGTCTTTTTCAGAGTAAATGATATTGAGAAGCTTTAGATTTTGCTTTGTAACGCCTTCTATCTTACTATAGAATTAATAAAATGATACCATTTTGGTATTATTAATAAGGATATATAGTAATACTTCATGTTATATCTTTTACTTTGCATAAAGAGAATCATCATGAAACTTATTCTATATATACAAACGTTATAAATTAATTTGCTTAAATATATAACAGCACATACATTTTATGAAAGTTTTAAAATATAATTCAATGTTAACTGTAAAATTTAAAATTTAAAATTTATATTTTTAAAAGTTTTTATAAAACTATTATTATAAGTAAGTAATAAATGCCTATATGTTTTAAATTCAGATAAATACTACACAATAATGACAGTATGTGTTATTTTATCATATTAAAATTATGTTTTCTATGAAATTTTAAGATTTTGTGTATTTTGAAAAAAAATGTTTAAAAAGTACTTTCTGATGTGTATTTTGGAATTGTAAGATTTTGTGATAGTTGTCATGTTGTGTAATTGGTTGATTTTTATGCTATTTATTTTGTAGTAATAAAAAAATCATTCATAAAAGTTTGGATATATATATATATATATATATATATATATATATATATATATATATATGAAATGTGATATAAGCTTCATATACTCTATATATAAAAGCTTGTTGGGAAACGCTTTATACTACTTAGTATTAATAGTGGGTGGTACAATATTAATTATTTAATTTGTTTGATACGAATTAGGTGGGCAATGAGCTAGGCGCCGGAAGGCCAAACAAGGCAAAGCTAGCTGCAATGGTGGCACTATCGTGTGCATTCGTAGTTGGTTTGATGAATGTGATTTGGACCGTCATCTTTAGAGACAAATGGAGTGACCTTTTCAGCAATGACCACATGCTCACATCACTTGTTTCATCAGTGATGCCTATCATGGGCCTTTGTGAGCTTGGCAACTGCCCGCAAACCACAGGGTGTGGGATCCTCCGTGGCACTGCTAGGCCTGCGGTTGGTGCCCGGATCAACCTCGGGTCTTTTTACTTTGTGGGCACACCGGTAGCCGTAGGCTTAGCCTTTTTCTTTGGGGTCGGCTTCACTGGTTTGTGGATTGGGCTCTTATCGGCTCAGTTTGCATGTGCGATTTCAGTTTTGTATTCAGTTGTTGTTCGTACGGATTGGGAAGGAGAGGCTTTGAGAGCTCAGAGACTCACCAATACTACTTCTTCTTTAGAGATGGTCATTAATTGACACTAATGTTAGTGAAAAAGGATTCTTGATGATCGGATAAACGTATTTATCATGTTTTGGAAACAATATAATTAATAATAGGCCAACGTAATTTTTTTTTATTTTTTTATTTTTATTTATTATTATTAATTTTTTTGTTAAGATGATTTGGCATCGATAGTTTTGTTTTTGTTTGATCGTATATATTTTTGGATAAAGACGATTAAATTTTGAGAAGAAATCAAATAGTACTTAGCGATGATCCTTGCCAAACTCTCTTCCCCGCATTTCTTGTGTGCATATTTATCTTAACTACATAAAACAAGTATCTTTTGATGAAAGTATTTTTGGAATATCGTTTATTTTTTCTTTTTCACTTTGTCTTGACATTTTACTCTCCACATTGTTTAATGAAAACAATGTCGTTATTTATCATATGTTTAAGCATGTCATTTTCTTTATTTTTTGTTCTCATATAGATAAATTGAAATGACAAAATTGCAAGAATGGTCCATGTGGCTTGATCGAAATTGCCACTTTGGGCCAAACAGGTTTGGACTAGCACTCATGGTCCAAAGGTTTTCATTTTCTTGCCACTGTGGTCCAATTTACTTTAAATTTTTTGATAATGACCATTTTGCCCTTTGATTTTACTTTTTCAGTTTTATTTATTTATTCAAATCCTTTTATAATTAAAAGAAAAATAAAAAAGAAAATCTCTCTCTCTCTCTCTCTCTCTCTCTCAAAAAAAAAAAAATGGGAACTTTTGTTACAATACCAAGAACTCAATCCACCATTTTCATCTTTTTCAAAACCCAAGTCCACCCTTTTCCTTTCTTACCCATCGGTCCTCTCCCCTAGCCCAAACATCTCCGTCGAGCTCCACCATCCACGAGACCAGAGCGCTGGGAAAAACAGATCGGTGGTTTGAGTACAACCAACATCTTCGATCTCAGATACACCGGAAAATCCAAGTTTCAAGCCTGTTTTTGTGTTGTGGTTTTTATCGGTCTTTTATGTCGGCTTCCCTCCGGTTCAAATCTTCAATACATTGTGTGTGTGTGTGTGTGCTTTCTCTGGTGTGTGTGACTCTCCAGTTCAGATCTTCAGAATTAGTACCAGCTCTATACATGTATTGTTCATCATCTTCTCCACCTTCTCATCTCCTTTTGTAATCAGTACCTTCTGCTTCGTGGAACTAAGTTTGAAATAGAGGATGAAAAATATGATTTTTGTATAGATCTGGGATGTTCCTGGCGGCTAGGGTTTCTTGGTGGTGATGCATCGTGTGCGTTAGGGCTTGCTTTAACATCAGATTTTTGCATCTAGTTTTGAAAACTGATTTGTGAATGTTCTTGGATAGATTAGTGCTTTTGTAATATGATTTTGAATGTTTTGTGTGCTTTAAAATCGATGAACACTCAAAGATAGATTGTTGATTTCTAATTTGATTTTGGTTATCAATGCTTAATATTTGATGATTCATAGTTGATCAACTTTTCTTTTACACGAAGATAAAACAAGAAACAAAAATGATTTCTAATTTTTTATTCTTTTATAATGGTGGAATCTGATGGTGGTGGTGACAGGAGGGGGTGATGGTAGTTGTAGGTGGTGGTTCTGGAAAGAATAGTAGAGGGTGGTGATTTAGATGCTCGGAATAGATGCAGAGAGCTTCAGGTTCTAATGTGGAGAGAGAGAGAGAGAGAGAGAAAGAGAGAGAGAAAAAGATATATATATATATATATATATATATATATTCTTTTTTATTTTTCTTTTAATTATAAAAGTATTTGAATAAATAAAAAAACTAAAAACGTAGAAACAAAGGGCAAAATGGTCATTATTAAAAAATTTAAAGTAGACTGGACCAAAGTGGCAAGAAAATGAAAACCTTTGGACCATGAGTGCTAGTCCAAACCTGTTTGGCCCAAAGTGGCAATTTCGACCTAACCACATGGACCATTCTTGCAATTTTGTCAACTGAAATTAAAGTTATAAAATATAATTATATAAGTTAAATCAGGTTAAAAACTTGTCAAAAAATAAAATATCATATCTTCTTTAAACTATTTAAATTGAAAATTGTTCTTAATATTTTAGATGAACAAAAGTAAGCAAGGATGTGTTAAAAACTTAGTCTAGTTAAGCACTTCGCTAACGACATCTGGCTTCGTAGGCTAGACCTCTAGAACATAAATCTTTAAAAACAAATATATATTTAGTGCTGGCGGACACATGCCTTCATAGGGTACAACACAGATTAGCTAATGCTAGGTTACGTTATTAAAGTTGAACTCTTATTTATATTTTTTTATCTGCCAAGTAATCGACAACATACAATCAAGTTGTGAGACCAATTTTTATGGTATACTTAAAAAAATACAATTTTAATGTTAGTTTTTCTCTTCAGTATTTCAATCAGTCTTTAAAATAAACCATTTTAATATCTGATACACTTAAACATCAAATATGAACTTCAAAGTGTTTGACCTCTAAAATATGTCATTTTAGTGTGTGATTGGATTGATTATACCATTTTAATGTCTAATATAAATGTTATGTTTTATCATTGGATTTGGTCTAGCGAAACAAAAACTTAATTACAAAAACCATGCATACAGTTGAAATTATAGATAGTTTCTTTAACTATTTTTTTTATTACATATGGTTTTATATGTATTTTTTTGAAGCGATATCGGGACGCTGTGTCGGATAATTTGTTGCTTATGTATCCCATTTTCATACCCATTATTAGAGAATAGAGACCCATAGTTTATAGAAGACTTTCGACCTATTAGCTTGATTGGATGTCAGTATAAGTGTAACATCAAAAAAATATGGTCCCAAAAATTTCATTTTCTTATAATAAATAAAATAATATTTTCGAATATCAACCATTCAACACAACAAAACCAATGTATCAAGTGTTATCAAAATCAGAGTGAATGTCAAATGCGGAACTCCACTGGTGTGTGCGATGCAATCAACTCGAGCTCTTCCCATTGGAACTGGAAGTACCTTAAACATAAACTAGAAACCATAAGCACAAAGCTTAGTGAATTCCCCCAAACTACCACATACCATACATAAAATAAACATATAGTGGGCCCCGCTCAGCATACATATAACATATATCAAATAAACACATACACATGCAATAATCACGTAGATACATAGCATACAAATAGTCATCGGGCCCCGCCCGACATCGGGCCTTAGCCCGGAGAGCATATAAACACATACACATGCAAGAGTCACGAAGACAGCTAGCATACTAACATAACATAAACATGGGTCGGCATTGGTGCCTTCGACCCGCTAAACCCAATGAGGAAACTCACATCGAAAAACTAAATCTCACAAAAGGAAATCTCTAGCTGCCGCCCTGACGACTTCCCGAGCTATCAGTGCAAAATAACATCCAATCAAAACCAATAATCCATCTTAGGGTAAAATGACCATTTTACCCCTAACCTAATTTGGTTCATAACTAAGGTCCAAAACCATAACATAAAAAGGTCCATCACTAGATAATCTTTCAAAGCCCACCAGTGGCCCACTTATGGCCCAATTTTCCAAATTTGGCCCAAACGCCTCTAATGGGCTTTACCCTAAAGCCCAAACATATACATAGCCCAAAAACCTGATTTTAGATGGTCCACTATAGCCCAAAGCAACAAGGTCCAAGAAAATGGCCCAAGGGAATCCCACTGATGGATCGAACGCTGGGCGTTCGTCACTAGCCAACAGATCGCGAGCCTCAACCGGAACGTTGGGCGTTCCTCGTCCCAACATTGGGCGTTCGCACACTGCTTCCCAAAAGTGATTATTAAGCACTTAATGCATAAAGCCACACGACCAAAACATGGATCCAAGTCCTAAAGAACATCTAGAACCATAAAAGTCACTGACTTGGTGGCTTTGCATGCCCCAAAAGGTCCCAACTTCAAGATATAACATTCAACTTTCATAAAAAGGGCTTAATATCATGCATGGGGCTTATAAAACTCTAAAGATGCAAACTTTATGAATCTAGAACATCATAAACACCAAGATAAGTAGCTCAAATCTTCTGGAGTGATCATAACTACAAGATCTCAACTATGGGACCAAAATGGGACTAAAATCCATAAAAACTTAGATCTAAGCTTCTAAAGAGCAAAGGTTAGAGCTTTATACCTCAAATGTGCTGGAAATGGAGCAGAGAACCAAGATCTATAAGCTCCTACTTGAACCACCACCTTGCACCAAGCTTCTCTTCCTTGAATGAGCTTCAAACACACACACAATGAGCTCACAACACTCAAGGAGGCTCTAGGGTTTCGAGATTATGGTTAGGGGCTATGGAGGCTGGAAATGAGGCCAACACCTAGGACTTATGTGACATCCCCATTTTCTCGGCCATAAAAGACCGATTTTGTTTATGCTTTATAAAAATCAGAGTACCTCTTTTAATAAAAATGTTGCGGAATTTGTTCCCCGAAAAAAACATGATAAATACGTTATCAAAGCATTTTCGAAGAAATGTGTTTTTATCCATTTTAAAAAATTTGAGATGTCATCGTCAATACACAAACATAAGCATAAACAGAACTTACATTCATTTACACTAGTGATCTACATCTCTTTTAAATCTCCCAGTGTAAAGTAGCTTCATATCGACACCTGTGATACAAATAAGCTTGAGTGGGTCAGGTTGGGAAACCTGGTGAGTACATAGGGTTTTCAACCCACACTAATTTAAATTATTATGTTTAAACATCAAACAATCAACCTAATTACCCATCCCCATTATCTTCCTTACTCTTAAGGATCTACCCTAAGAATCATCTATCCTGCATTCGTTCATTTCGAAGCCCATTGCTTCCAGGGTTTATATGATAGGCACTAAGTCCATAGTCGTCAATGCTTGTTCGTAAAGCACTAATTCCATAGTTGCTAAAGTTCATTCATCAGGTACTAAATCCATAGCTACCAGTGTTCAGCTAATAGGTACTAAATCCATAGCTACCAATGTTTATTTAACAGGTACTAAGTCCATAGCTACAGACGTTTATCTAACAGGTACTAAGTCCATAGCTACCAATGTTTATTCGATAGGCACTA